GGGCAGAAGGAACTGAAGAGCCAGAATATGGAGAGGAGTGTGAAACATCTTCTGGGGTTGAAATGGATGTTTTATTAGTGAACTCACTGCAGGTTTGTTTTCATGCATGAGAGCTGGGCAAGATGGGGCCCACTAAGACTTTGTCACAACAGAGAGGCATTCCTGAGGCGTCGCTCTGCCTGAGAAACTATTTGCAGTTAATTGTGTCTTGAAGAGGGCAAGTAATTTTCTTCAGCGTTGTCGCTACTAGTGAGTTGCCTATGCTCTGGGGAATACTCCATACATATGCCGACTCAACCTGAATTAAACTCAGTGGGTCACAAACGACAATAACAAAACAAACTAACAACCAAAGTAAACATAGAAAAATTCATGAAAATTTTATTATTAGGAAGTATTTTAGCATTAGGAAGATGGGGTTCAGTGGGAATGGGAGGGAAATGAGAGGTTATGGTTGATGGAAATGACCAAGCACATTATACACCTATACATAAACATCAAAGAATGAAAAACAGAAAGGCTAGATGCCCGAAATCACTTGCAATTGGCATAGGTACTTGACTGCAGGAAAAGAAAAAATTGAAGGCCAGAAGCATATCAAAGAGCAGCTGGTTGCAGTATAGTCTTGTTTTTGAGCGTTGTCTGTATGTGGAAAGAAGTATCATAATCTTCAACCCACTGTCTTGAATGAAGGAATCTTAGTTGAATTGTTCAGGAATTCTAGAAAAAGCCTGATGCATTCTTATTATCCAGTTTTGTCAGAGAAAACATACTTTTTCAAGTGCAATATTCCATTGCTGAAATGAGTAAAATGACTGAGCTCTCTGACCAAACAAGCACTGCTTCTGAGAACTTATTCCAAGAATGTAATTCAAAAGGAAAACCAACACTGTGCACAGACTGTATGTGTGTACAGAGACAGAGATATATAGAGTCAGAGAGACAGAGACAAATGATCAGAGAGAGAGACAGAGACAGAGAGACAAAGACACAGATAGAGCAGACACCTAAGAAACCCTGGGTCTGTTAGGCATGTATGTTAGGCAAGCACTGTTTGCTGACTAGTTTCAAGTCAACTTGACAGAAGTTAGAATTATCTGAAAAGAGAAGACTTCAATTGAGAGATTGTTTCCCTAAGATTGGGCTACAGGACATTTTATTAATTAGTGATTGATGAGACAGGGCTCAGCCCATTCCGGGTGGGGACATTCCTGGGCTGGTGGTCCTGGGAACTATTAGAAAGTAGGCCAAGCAAGCAATGATGAACAAGACAGTAAGCAGCATCCCTCCATGGCCTCTACCTCTAGGTTCCTGTCCTGTGTGAGTTCCTGTCCTCACTGCTTTTGATGATGAACTATTATATGTAACTGTGAGTGAAATAAATCCTCCCCCAAAGTTGATTTTGGTCATGGTGTTTCATCACAGTAATAGTTACCCTAATTAAGACATACTCCAACACATACAGATTTTTTTTTTTTTTGTGGGGAGGGAGAGTGGGGCTAGGTATCAATGCTAACACTTACAGTAACAGCAGCAAGTATCCAAAAAAAAAAAATTAGCACATGGCTAACTGATGTTACATGACCTGGGGCTACTATGCCAGATAGTTACAGTAATATTATTTGTCAAGTAGAATTATATTTCAAATTATTGTGGGAAAATAGGAACACTTGATAATAAACATTTCCATCTGGTATCAGCCATGGAACATGTTGGTTTCTATCAAAAATATTAATTCCAAGTTTTAGATTTTACTCTGGTGTATAAAGAACTCAGTCTTTGATCTTCTAATGGCAGTGACAGTTAGCTTCATTATACAATAACCTCTACAAAGCAGCATAAACACAGAACACTAAAAAACCAGAAATCAGCATGGCTGATTACCCAATGTGCTCAGTGTCCTCTAAGTCAGGGGCTGATATGAACACAGCTGTGATTTCTTCCCTGTTGCTTTTCCACAAAAATGTTTCAAATCAATGTTTTTATAATGAGATGAAAACAAAAACTTTTAAAAGGAGCTTGGATGTTCCTGGGGGCTAAATTGCTTTGTTACAGTAAGACCAGGGAATTATTACATTTTGCTTCAAGCTTCAGATTTGAATTAGGATTGCACTACGCGTATAACTTTATATGGCCCAACTTTCCTGGGTTGTTTACGGTTGCAATGATTAAACTCCAACCCTTTTTATTTACCTATCAGTCTTATTACCTCGTCATGATTATGACTGTATATTCTTATAATGAAGAATTTGCTGAGCAGGATTATGCAAAGTGATAAAACCTGAACAGGAAACATTAAACACGTTAGAAAGGCCACTCTGGCTATCTGAGGCTCAGGGCTAAAACTGGATATGCTGAGGATCCTTTTGGCTGGAAGAACCCAGAGAGGCAATAATTACTATAAATAGCAAAGTACTTTATTTGTGCAACGGAAGGCTACCATAAATCTTGGAGGCAGGAAAAGTGAATCTGCTTCCAAGTTTTATCTCTTCTAGTATTTTTGATATTATCATTTTACTTCTATATGTTATCCAGAACAGGAACTAGATAGCCTTGAAGTGAACACTTCTCACCTACCTCTAGAATCTAGATGCAGGCAAGGAAGGTGTGTGTTTGTGTGTGTCAAAGAGAGAGAGAGGAGAGAAAGAGAGCGAGAGAGCTCTCTTATACATGCACAGGTACTACTTGTGGGCTCAAAGCCCCTGCTGCTATATGCCAGCTGTTCTTGGCTCTGGTGGCAGATAAAAAAGGTCTTGGGGTGGCATGGGGTATAATGCATCTGAGGAACATGACCAGCACTCTATCTGTCTTTATTGGCAGACAGTTCCTTAGGCCAAGTATCAGTATATGACTTAGTCACTGAAAGGGAACTGGGCCTAAGTCCTGGCCATTCTCGAGGACACAGACACTAGTATCTGGGAATTAAAATGTCAGAAGCCACTCACTGGGCCAGGAAGAGGATCTGCTCTCTCTCAGATAAGTAGTTCTGGCTCAGGGTTATCATTCATGAAAGCTGAGCGACTCACATCTCCTCACTGTTCTTTATTACTTAGGTTGCCGCCCTGGGAGGCCTAACTTCCATCAGAGTAACAGATGGGAGGGGTGAGATGGCAGGGCTGGGATGGCAGGCTTGATAAGGATTATTATTAGTTCTGTTCATGTGAGGAAAATTTAACATGGTTCTAAAATTTCCTCAAAGGGCTTCCTGCCTGTGTGAAGGACTGACCTTGCAATCAGGAATAGTCGGGTCAATGGGCTGCCCAGATGTCTCAGACGGCCAGTCTGAAAGGAACTGCTGAGGGCAGGGTAAACTTAACTCTTACCGACTGACTGACGTGTGGCCTACAGCAGGGTCTTCTCACCCCAAACCTTGCTACAGTCTTCCTTGCAGTTGAGGTTTATGATGCTTTCTCTTGAGCCAGCTGACTGTGACATTTTATCTGTGTTAGCCACAACTGTCTTTTCCTTCTGAGACAGGGTGTCACTCCTTAGCTTAAGTTATCTTTGAACTCATGTTTCTCCTGCCTCATCTACCTGAGTGCTACAATACCGGCATGCATCACCACTTTAGCACAGAAATCATTTAATTTCTTCTTGAAGATTTCTTTTTATTACACTGGATGTGGTGGTACCTATGTTTAATCCCAGCACTAGGGCAGCAGCAGGAGACGGATTTCTGTGACTTTGAGGCCAGCCTCTTCTGCACAGCGAGTCCAAGGCCAGTCAAGGCTACACAAAGAGACCGTTAAAATTTTTTTTTGTTTTTGTTTTTATTATTTGTGTGTATGTGAGAGAGAGAGATGGGGGGAGGGGATGCATACACACGCAGGTGCTAGCAGGGGCAGGAAGAAAGTGTTAGATCTCCTGGAGCTATAGTTCCAGGCAGCTGTGAGCTGCCCAGTGTGGTACTGGATAATAACTCAAGTCCTCTCCAAGAGCAGCAAGTGTTCTTAACTGCTGTACCATTTCTCTAGCTCCCGTTTTAATTTTTAAATTCAAACCTAGCCATAGCTAATCTAGAGTTTTGTCCTCCCAGCATAGTATTCCATCTTTGTTCTTCTGGTTGGTTTCTGCTTTCTGCCGTGCTTTCTCTATAAAATTATAAAGTTTAAAAATCAGGTCTTAGCCATCTTCAACCATGATGGCTCATATGATCAAGTTATGGCCAATCACAGTATGTGATCTCTCTGGACATAGTGATAGCTTTAGAAGTCATGTGATCAATGCAAAAATCTTCCCTGGATCATTTCAGCTGAGTTAAGTTGGAAAATTATTATTATTATTTTTTTAAAAAACTACTGAAGGCTGGATATATGGCCTAGTGATGCTTAGCAAATGCCTGAAGCCACCAACCTGTATAAAATAAGCAATTTTGCATCTAGGAAGTTGTAAAGATAATGCAGGAACATCCAGACCCCCAATCGTGGAAAAGCTAAGCTATCATCTCACGCTGGTTGCGGACAGCAGATTATCATGTCTGCGGTAAAGTGAACCCTATTTTGAAATAAACTCAAACAGAACTGTAGTGGAGCCCTGAGGACATCATTCCAGCCCGATACTCCAGTGGGAGCCTAAAGGTATTGCCACCTGTGGATTTTCTTCTCTTTAGAGCCAGATTTGGGTGGTCTTCTACAACTTTCAGTCTGTGAAGCAGAAGCTTTATGAAAAACATTTAAAAGAATAATGCAAAAGGGAAGCTCCTGAAACCAGCATTTCAGGACCAATGTGTCAGCCTCCTGCTATGAATTTAAATGACATACAAACCATTAAGATATGTAACAAGGATAAATGTTTCCAAACATAAAACTACGTGACAAACAAAATAATCAAGCTCAGGATGGGCACTCAATGTCTGACTGAGAGTTACTCTCAAGGAAAGATGACTGAATACAGTCTCTCCTTGTTGGCATTTGTGCACACCACACTTGGAATGTAATGAATTGTGGTTAAGATTCTTTCTTCTCCACCACACAATTTGATAGAACAATATTTACCATTTTGCTTCTCTAACTCTTGCTTGATATCTTCAAACACTTGAGAAAAGAGGTCCTCTTCAGACCTTGTTCCATCTAGGTAAACTGGAAGGTGAGAAATAGCGGTTCAAATGTTGACAGGCTTATTAGTAAAGGATGCTTTGGCATTTCTTTACAACACCAACAGCTTTCACCAAAGGACCAGAACTATGACCTAAGAAAGGAGGGAAGGAATGAAAAGAGAAAGAGAGAAGAGGTTCAGCATTACGCCATGGCGTACATTGTGAACTTTATTTCTTCCACATTGGGCCATTCCCTCCTAGAGGGAGGAGGGAGGCTCATAAGACTCCAAAGCAAATAACCTTATTGGCTCATTGAGCTCCGGAGAGTTAGATTCACAAGGTCCCTTCGGGAGGTTGCATTAGCAGTAATAACTGCTGGGACAGAACTCTCCTATGCCCCGAGCAGTCAGAAGGTTGTACAGACAGCTCTACAAATGTCATTTTCATGAGGCAGTACCACGGTGAAGTGGGCTTTTTGGTGATGCAACTCTGAGTCACCACGTTGTCAGTGGCTCCAATAGACTCACTGGATCACTAAGCTAGGCGTGGGACAGTATCCTTGGTCCGTCCTTGGTGCCTGACTGTCATACAATAGCATGTCAGGAGGACCAAAAAGAAGCCTCCCCCCAACTGTGAAACTCCTAAACTAGATGTCGGCCTTGACTGTATCACATGCTAATGAGACTAGAAGTTACATATTTAAAAAAAAATTGCATGGACACTTGTGGAGAAAAGGAAGTTACCTGGGTCAAAGAAAAAAAGGAACCTCTATTAAGAACACAGCAAGGATGAGGAGGTCTGAGGAGGACTTACCCGTTGGGAAGTGTAAGTGCTAGCTGCATGGGAAGGAACAGATTGGAGATAAAGTTTTAGAGAAAGGCTGTGCCTTTGTGTCAGTTTAAATTTCATCTCCCAAAGCTGGAGTCCATGGACTGACTATAGTTTAACAAGGAGTCCTAGTGTCTTTTCTGTTGCTGTGACAAAACACTCTAGCCAAAAGCAACTTGAGAAAGAAAGGGTTTATGTGGCTTATGCTTCCAGGTCACAATTCACTGAGGGAAGCCAGGGCAGGAACTCCAGGAAAGAGTGTGCCACAGGAACCACAGAGGAACGCTGCTTCCTGGCTTGCTCTCTGGCTCACTCAGCTAGATTTCCTGTACAGCCTAGGCCCATCTGCCTAGGACAGCACTGCTCTCCCACATCCGTCATCAGTAAAGACTATCTGTCACGGACATGGCCACAGGCTGACATGCTTTAGCTCATCCCTCAGTTGAGACTCCCTCGGAAGACTCTCCTGTGAGGTTGACAGCTGCCATTAATTAGGACACAGGACAATGGCAACATCAGACTTGCAGTTTAGATGGAGGGAGCAAAGGGTGTTAAGAGGATGTTTCTCCTATACAGCACAGTAGCCGCTGGTCCACGCACAACCCAGTGACAGCTCTGAAGTGGACTCTATGTCCTTTCTGCACAGAGCTGTACAGAGCTGTCTTTCCTGGAGGCCAACAGGCTCCAGTCAGTATGGCTGAAATCTCCTTTGCTCTCAAAAGTATGCCAGTCTGATTTCTGTGCCTTGTCCAAGGGACTTTTGCCACCATCTCTACATGAGAACTATATTCCAGTGATGGTATCTTAGCTCAGGCCTAAGTATTCATATTGCCTCCAAACTAGTACATTGTCTCTAAGGAACCTCATCTTATTTCCTTCAGAACATATGTGTAGTCATAACTCCTTCATGTTTTTTTTTACCCTAAAATAACACCTGCCAGTTCCTGAGGTGTCTGTCATCTTCAACATCGCTATGCCTCAGTTCTGCTGAGGACCTGTGTTCAATACAGCCACCTGTAATTCTACCCCTCGGCTCACAAAAGAGCTTACTGAAGAGAACATGTATCAACTGTGGCCATGTTTAAGGCCTGTCTGTAAAGAGCCTCCCAATTCTCTTTGGCTATCGTATTGGCACCAGAGGGCCTTATCCTTGTCTGTAGCACATCTTTCCCTTGTTTTTCTCTACTACAAACACAAAAGCCTCCTTTATGTATTGCTCATGCTTTTCTGTTCCTAGCCCTTTTCTTGGTTATTCCTATGGGTCTGGATGAGAGCCATTCTCCCTAACTTTACTTTCCCCACCTCAGTCCAGCTAAACGCATATGAGTTTGGCTACAAACAGCTTTCTCACAGAACCTGGAGGTGGGCATTTCCCTGTTTGTAAAGCTCACTAACTCCCCTCCCCCGCCAACTTCCCCCATGACAAGGTTTCTCTGTGTAGCCTTGGCTGTCCTGGACTCACTTTGTAGATCATCAGGCTGGCCTTGAATTCACAGAGATCTGCCTGCTCTGCCCCCTGAGTGCTGGGATCACAGGCTTGCATCACTGTGCCCACCAAACCTTACATTTTTAATACAGTTTCCTGGTGACATCTCAGCTGGGTGAGAGTAGAGACTGGGTCTAAATGTCACCATGGGCAACATTCAGGCAAGGATGGTCCAATGAATGATCATTTGGAATCTGACAAACTTGACAAAAACCACCAGCTGAAAAGGAAACGGCAGGTGGGTACGGTGGCGTCTGCCTTTAATTCCAGCACTTGGGAGGCAGAGGCAGGTGGATCTCTGTGAACTCAAGGTCAGCCTGGTCTACAAAGAGAGTCCAGGATAGCCAAGGCTACACAGAGAAACCCTGTCTCAAAAAACCGAAAAAAAGGAAAGAGAGGGAGAAGCCAAAAATATTTTCCAAGTAATCTTTCCTGTGCTTTGATGTAAATGGGAAGTACAAGGCCTTAAGAGAAGGAGGGAAAAGCACTTACTAATTTCCCAGGTGATGGCGTTCATTTCTTGTCTGTGCTTTAGGTACATGGGCCACACGTGGCCATCAAAGTACCCTGGAGGGTCTGGAGGCTCATACACTCTTGTACTGGAAAGACAGGCAGGTACCTTGATGTTGATACAATGTTATGATTGACAAAGTAAAGGGGCCATTGATCAAGATGATGTGAAAATCGTTCAGGTTAAATGTAAAGAGGAATTCAGACGACTTGTCTAGTCTCAATCGTAGTGGGAAAGGCAGTAAAATAGATTTAGTTCTGTACTACAAACTCTAAGCCTGTAACTCAGTGTCGCTCTTAATTATCTTTTCTCTGTTTCTTGTGTTTAATAAAAGAATTATGGGACAAGTACAAGAAGAAATAAGGAGTGAGACATTGACAGGCTGGCATATTCTCTATCTAGCTGGTGCAGCGATAGCAGAACCAGACAGGGTGAAACTGGTCCCTTTTCTCAGAGAGGTTACTGTACACTTCCCAAGGTGACGAGCATTTATAGGAAAACGTTTGACTTCCATGTTAAGGCTTGGTCACTTTTCTCACTTTTCCCTGCATTTCATGTTTTGAGTGGCTTCTAAACGTACCTCCTCCTCCTCTTACATTCTTCATATGGAATGGTCAGGAAGTAGCTTCTGCTCCATATGGTGTCCAGTGGCCTAAGAGAACGGCACACACAGTTCGCAGGCTCTCCTCCACCCCCACCCCCACCTTCCTTCCAGATGGTGTTGGAGTAGGGAGGCTTACTTATAATTAAAGAGAAGGAACCCTTCGATAATTAGAATGGGAACCCCTCGAGCACTTTCCGAGGCTGCTGGTCCGGCAGAGTGTCCTGCATTTTCCATCCAACAGGAAATGGCTGACATCATCTTTTCCATGTTAAGTGCTTCAAGCACTGAGAAAAACATCAAACACATGGAATTAATACAGCAAACGTCTTCGGGGGGGGGGGAGGGGATTGGACTTTTGTGATAAGCATCTCCAGGGCTCTGTAAATGTATGACATAACAGCATTGTACTTATCTTTCAAGGTATCTGAGAATAAATACTTTAAATGTCCAATTAAAACACTAATAGAGATCTATTTAAGTGGTATGTCTGAGACATTTTTATTATGGAAAAACAAAGATGTACAAATGTAAAATACAATGAATGGCACGACATTATTTCTAGCTGTAATTTTTTACGTTGATGCATTTACTGTGTATCTGTGGAGGATAGAGGACAGCTAGAGATATTCAGTTCCGTCCTTCAACCATGAGGCACTCTGGGATGGAATTCAGGTTGTAAGGCTTGGGGGCAAGTGCCTTTACTCACTGTGTCCTCTCCCCTGCCTTCCAACCTTGACTACCATAAATTCATGGCATAGTTAAACATTCCTGATATTGAAAAATTAAAAATTTTGGTAGCAGAGACTAAATGCAGGATTTTGTGTACGGCAGGCAAGCACTCAACCACTAAAGTATATCTCCAGCCAGATCTTTAAATTAAAAATTAAATTGGGGCTGGAGAGATGTCTTGGTGGCTAACAGTTCCTCAAGCTCTTCAAGAGAACTCAGGGTCAATTCCCTGTACCCACATGGTGGTTCACTACTGCCTGCAACTCCAATTTGGGAAGATAAAATATCTGTAGATACATTTGAAAGCTAAGTAACATATTATAATGTATTTGGAAAGTAGCTACTATTTCTAATAGTAAAGAGCTCATTTAAGTGAAAAACTTTTATTTTTTTATGCGTATGGGTGTTTTGCCTGCATGAATGTCTGTGCATGTGCGTGCAGGGCCCACAGGGTCAAGAAGAGAGCTATCAGATCCCCTGGAACTGAAGTTACAGAGGGTTATGAGCTGCCATGTGGGTGCTGGGAATTGAACACCAGTCTTTCAGAAGAACAATCGGTGGCTAACCACTGAGCCATCTCTCTAGTCTCTCATGGGAAATCTTTTCAAAGTTATAGGACACAAATGCCATTTCAAGCTCTGAAATGTGCTGCTTCTAGAGCTTAGAGGCAATGAGTCTAGAGCAGCAGAGTGAGCATTCTTTATGCATGGTCTTCAGAGCAGCCCCACAACTTGTCAAACATGGAAATTCTCAGCCTCATTCCTGGACCACTTATCGCAACACATGACCTCACAAGTGTTTCCACCATAGTTTTAAAAGTTGGGCTAATTAGGATAAAAGAGATAAGACTATTAAGATTTTCTTATGGTCATGCTTCTGGTTTAAGTGTTACTTTTCCCAGGAGACTGTCAGTTTCATAAAAGCTTACAAATAAATCTCATAGGAGTATCCGTAACACGGGCCTCTTTTCAACATTTGTAGGATCTGCAATCCTGATATTTCCCATGTTTGCTACTTGTAAGTTGTGCCTTCCCTAACTATTTATGGATGCATTTTGTGTAGCTTTGGAGGGGATCACTCAGTCTTCAAGCTACAGGTTGACATCTCCACTCAATGCGAAGTCTTCACTGTGGTGTCCGAGCTCATGTGCCTCCTGAAACTCTACAGAGCTGCTGGTCTCTTATCATGCCATCCTTCTTCATGTTCTCCTTTCCAGAGTAACTTATGCCATGTCTTCAAGCTATCAGTCCTTTTCTCTCATGTTTATTTTTCTACTTAGCCTACACGGAGAGTTGTATGATTTTGGTTATTATACCTTTTTTCAGTCACCAAATTTTTTCTTGGTTCCGTTGCTTGTTTATTTTCTGAGACAGGGTTTCTCTGTGTTGCCCTGGCTGTCATGGAACTTGCTCTGTAGACCAGGCTGGTCTTGAACTTAGAGATCTGCCTGGCTCTGCCTCCCCAGTGCTGGGATTAAGGGCACGGTGGCCTGCGAGCCCTCGCCCAGCTCTTGGTCTTAGTTGCTTTTTCATGTCTGCTGTTTCTTTCTTGGAGCCATTTAAACTTTTCTCCTGTTTTAAGCCTATCTGCATTTGCTTGTCAAACCCTTTTTACAAAGCCAATGTAAAATCTTGGTCAGACATTTTGACAGCGTTGTCATGGAAGTGATGCTTATAGACCATTATTTTTCTTTTTCAAGTTGAGATTTTCCTTCCTCTTTGACTGACATTTGGCTTTCAGGTATGTCCTGATGATCTGGGGTGCTGTGTATTGAGGCTCCTATTTAATCTTTGTGTTTTGCAGTCAGTCACTCTGAGGTCCGCCCAGGGTTCAGAAGGGCATGTATATTCAGCATCTTTATGACTGGGTCTGGGGGGGGGGGTCATATGGGGAAAAAGCTCCATTGCTGCTTTCTGAGGGCAGGAGCTCAGCTTTCCACTAGGTCTGATGATAGGAGTAGCGCAGCCCTGGAGAGGAAGAAGGAACAGACTATACACCCAACCGTCTCTCATTCTGACTCTGCTGCCGTAGTTTGGAAGTTTGGCTCGTTGTTCGACTCTTCCAAATCTGCTGTGGATGGTGCAGAAGTCAAAGCACTCCATATTGCTGGTGATGGGTGATGGCCTCGGTGTGCTGCCCTCTGCTGGCCCTGTGGACACTACAGGGAAGCAAGGTTTTACTTTTGTGTCTAGCTAAAGCGGGACAAAAGGACACTGTATTCTGGTGGGCCACTCCTGTTCTGGTCCTTTGGTTGTAGGTTTCTTAGTGCTTTTTTAATGGCTCATGCTGCATACATTTCCAGCACCCAAGGTGGTACGTGGGGAAAAAAAAAAAATAAAGAAAACACAGGGAACTCGGACCCATGCCAGCCTGCTGTCTTCTTTTCAGGCTTCCTTTCTTTGTTATATTGAGTCCTAGGTCATGTCTAAATGAAGGTGGCCCAGTGAGAAGGGGACATGGAGTTAAAACATTCTCTAAGTTTCCTCGTGATCTACCTTTTAGTCCATGGAATCCACGCATCTTGCTTCACACAAATTGTGATGATACTTAAGATTTGCTTCAAAAAACGCAGATTGTGAAAGTGGGTGAGAGAGAGATGAAATATAACTGCCAGGGGGCTCATCATGCATACTGCTGAGTAGTGAACGCATGAGCATTTATTATGCTTCTCTAGCTACTTTGTGTATGTTTGAAACTGCTTATAAGAAAAATACTTGTAAGTAATTTAAAAAGTACTACGTACCTAGTTTTCAAATACCTGAGGTTTTCCTACTCGCCCACTATGTACAGAACTGAAATGTAGCTCACCATGACCACCATATCTATATGATATAATCTACTTCTGTGTTGGATACCTGTTCTATATGCCCACTTGTTTACGTGGGTTAAATATTATATGTTAGTCAATTTTTTTCTGTAAGTTCTACTAGCTAAGAAGTGTACCCGCCCTTACAAATTCACTTATTGAGGTCTCATGCCCAGTTCGTTGGGTTATGATCACATTTAGAAATACGTTAATGAGGTCATCTTACCATAATTAGTTAAGCAGCAGTTACATCACTTTTGTGATATAACTGATGTCACTATGAAAGGTGAAATTTAGCAGCACTTGGGAAGGCAGAGGCAGGCGGAACTCTGTGAGTTCGGGGCCAGCCTGGCCTACAAAGTGACAGGACAGCCAAGGCTACACAGAGAAACCCTGACTTGAAAAACCAAGAACCAAAGCAAAGAAAATAAGGCAAAATTCATATACATACACATGTAGGGAGGAGATAGCATGTGAAATGAAGGACGAGATCATGTTCATGATGCATCAAAGGTCAGAGTGTAGCATAGAACCAACCGTCTCTCATGGTCCTCAAGAGAACCAGTCTGGACCACACCCTCATCTTAGAGCCTGGCTTACAGAGCTGTGGGGCAGAACCCTTCTGTGGCTTAAGCTGCCCAGTGTGTGCATTTGCTAACTTACTTTATAAACTGAACTTGTAGTGCTTACAGAGATGTTGAGTCTACCTGGACATACTTTACATTGCCACATAGACTAAGATGTAGGAGGTATGAGCCCGTGGCAGGAACATGTCAAGGCATTTGAGAGACATATTTGTGATAGTTTCTAATTTCATGGAATGCGCAAGGGGTGAATGCTTTGTAGTGGCCAGGCCATTGGGTCATTATTACTCCACTAACATTTTTTTGTTTACTTCAGAACTGGAGAAAAGGTGATTTGCAATTATTTGTTATTTATAGGCAGATCCGCTTTTTGGAAGCGCTTATTCACATTCTTCTAGCATTTTTTCTTATTGAAGTATTACTTTTTTAGTAGCAGTTTATGAGAGCTCCCCAATGAATAGGAACAATAACGCTTTCCCACTGTTGAAATTGTGTTTTTCATTCCTTCTTTACAAACTTTTCTAACTTTTAGAATAAAGGAAGAGAAGAAACATTATATTGAGACTGAAACTTGACATAGAACAGCAAGGAAAGGACTTGGTCTGAAAATTACTATGTGTAAGAACTGCTATACAACACTGAATCCTCGGACCCTCAAAGTTAAAGACAGACAACATGACATTTTAAGTGAGTCCCCTCTACTGGTCTGCACACATTCTAAGGATAGCCTACTAATTATAAAAAGAGTAAGAACACAGACTCATCATGTTTTCTGGCTCACTTTAATTCTCTGGTTTCCAAACAGTTTTATCTTGGGACATAGAATGAAGTGAACCTAAAAAATATCCCAAGATTTTTCAAATAGTAATACAAACAAGCTTCTTGGTGCTTTGCTACCAGGATGGCAAGCTGAACAGATAAAAGTTCAATCTGATGTAAATGAGATGTGCTGGTGGGTGAGGGTCAAGTAAGCATGGCTAACCACATATGCCCAAGTCCGGGATAGATAGGAGGATGGCAAACTTATTGTGCCCTAGCTTCTGGAGAAACATCTATCATTCCAGTTCTGAGTATGAAATGTAAATTGGTGGGAAATTTTCTATTTATTTAAATAGTTTAACAAAGATTAAAAAAAAAAAAAACCCTACAAAGGCTGGCTTTAAGTACAGCAATATTTAAACATTCAAAATTTAAATTATTCGTTTGTGTGTGTGATAAAGAGAGACAGTGAGAGAGAGAGACAGAGAGAGACAGAGAGAGAGATGTGCTGGAGGGTGCAATACCAGAGCACACTTTTGGACACACTTCTTAGAGTCAGGTCTTTCCTTCCACTTTTACAAAGGTTCTAGGGAATCAAACCCACGTCTTCAGGCTTGCATAACCAGCGAAATTATCCAAAGAACCTTCCTGTCCTCCATACTTAAACATTTATAGTAGTGTGAAGATTATCAGATCCATTAGAATTGGCATTACAGACAGTTGTGAGCTGCCATGTAGGTGCTGGGAATTGAACCCAGGCCCTTTGGGAGAAGAGACAGTGCTCTTAACCACTGAGCCATCTCTCAGGACATATTTAAACATTTAACATTATGTTAATAGAGAGGGAAATTGTGTTTCAAAAAGAAAACGAATATAAAAGCTCATAATATTTCACATGTGACTGTACTTACCATCATACTGCAAAAATCCATTTTCATCTATGTCTATCTCAGACTCTGGCTGGAAAACCAATAAAACATCCATCAAAACAGTATGGAGGGCAGAAAATGATGCAATTATGCAATTAAAAAGATAAGCCCTTAATAAATGTTTTGGATGCCACTAACAGATGGTGCCATCTAGAGGGCAGGTAATACTATTGCACCACATTTATTCTCAGCAAAAAGCTTTTGGCCATAATTTAATTAACTTTGCTGTTAAACCTTTTCGTATTAAATAAATTATCTTAAGACACTTCATACATACCTTGAAGAAGTCATCCTGAGATATTATGCTGCAGTTGGGAAGGTGTTTCTGCAAGTTCTTTGCCAGTGTTGTTTTCCCACCATTTGTCACCCTAAATTAAGAAAAATGATGAGGTCAAAGAAGACATTAGGGAACATGAAACATTCTTAAACAATATTTTTCCTCTCTATTTCCTCACATAACACCCCTCTCCTTCTCCTCGGAGAAGTGGGAGGTCCCCCATGGGCACCAACCCGCCCTGGCACATTAAGTCACTGCAGGACTAGGCACATCCTCTGCCACTGAGGCCAGACAAGGTAGTCCAGTTAGGGGAACAGGATCCAAAGGTAGGCCCCAGAGTCAGAGATGGCCCCACTCCAGTTGTGAGGGGATCTACATGAAGACCAAGCTGCACATCTGCCACATATGTGCGGGGGCCTAGGTCCAACCCAGGCATGCTCTTTGGTTGGTGGTTCAGTCTCTCTGAGCCCCATGGGCACAGGTTAGTCAACTCTGTAGACTCCTTGTGGAAGTCCTGCAATCATTCCCCCCAACTCTTCCATAGGACTCCCCGAGCTCTGTCTAATGTTTGACTGTGGGTCTTTGCATTTGTTTCCATCAGCTGCCGGGTGAAACCTTTCAGAGGAGTTATGCTAGGCTCCTGACAATATTTTTTAAAGGGATATTTACTGATTGGGGGGAAAAAAAAACCTGCTCATTTTCACAGGTCATGTTTTGTTTGGCAGGTGAAATCACAGGTTTGAAAGAGGCTGTCCTTGTAGTAAGATATAAGGCTGGAGAGAGGCAAGTGACAGTCAGGTAAGTGAACTGGACACTAAAACTTCAAAAGCCAGACACTGCCGGTCAATGTATTGACTGTCAATATGTACCCCAGAGAATGTCCTTATCACATCCTTTCCGCAGGCTTATAGACTTGCTCATGGTCATTATGATTGTTTCAACCACACAGGAGGAAAAAGGAATGGCTTCTTAGAAGCCTGCCCACCCATGAGCCCACACTTCCTGTGCCATGCCCCTTACCCTCTCTCTTTGCACATGGAACCCAGGTAGAGGTTCAATGTTACTTTTCTCATCAGGTTGGTTATTTGTTGCCTCTCGCTGGACTGTGACATCCGGAGATATAGGTACCTGACTAACTCATGTGTCCCGTTTCCTACTTCCCTGCATGTGAGAGACATTTCTCTAGTCAACCTTATTTTTTTTTTCTCTCTTTTGAAACAGGTGTTGCTCTGCAGTCCATAACGACCCACATGTGTAGCCCTGGCTGACCTTGAACTTACAGCAAACCTTTTGTCCAAACCTCTTGAGTCTTGGGATTACAGTTATCAGTCACTGTGCCTGACTTATGCTATCATATTTGCAAAGACATGATTAGCTCAGAACGCAGTCACATTGAAAGGGTCCAGGAAGGAATGCAGGCTCATTTGCGAATCTGCAAGAGATTCCATCATCTTCACTAAAGTCTAACAGGACATTAACAGCTCCTTTTCTTACAAGTAATAAACTACAGTAGTGCTTATGTCTTGACTTGGGCATCTACAGGAACTGCCCACTGAGCTCCAGGTGGGCAGGTATCTTGAAGCATCGCTGATGCTCATTATTGTTTCAAACTTACCTACGTTGTCTACTACACTAGCAATGAACCATCACAAAGTCACAGATTTACTTACAAGCATTTTATGGTTGCATAGTAATGCAATTGACTTTCTTTGAACCCCTGTCTTATTTTGTGCCATTAAAGTCACCCTGAAAAGAGACACACCAAATGTTCCTAGCACAAAAACCCTGACTCTGCATCTATTGGCAAGAACCTGTGATTAGTTCTGGGAGAGGTCAACACCACAGTTTTATGATCTACAGAGGAATACATTCATCAAAAGGACTTGTTGTGAGGCTGGGCATGGTGGCATGTGCCTTTAATTCTAGTACTCAGGAGCCAAAGGCAGGTGGATTTTTTGTGAGTTCAAGGCCACCCTGGTAAACACAGTGAGCTCCAGGCCAGCAAGAGGTACATACTAATACCCTGTCTATGTTTAAAAACAACAGCAAACCACCAAAAAGACCCATTCCCACCAAACAATAAGAACAACAAAACCCAAACTAAAGGCTTATTGTATATAAATTATCATATAAAAACCTTATTATGTCTGCAAAGTAGAAGACATTGATTAATATGACTATCCATTTTGCATTACAATACACAGGTAAGTAGGGTACGGGCTGCTATTCTACATACTAAGAACCTTTTGTTCTTCTTTTTAAAAAAAAATATTTATTTATTTATTTATTTATTTATTTATTTATTTATTTATTTATTTATTATGTATACAGTATTCTGCCTGGATGTACACCTGCACGCCAGAAGAGGCAACAGATATCATTATAGATGGTTGTGATCCACCAGGTGTTTTCTGGGAATTGACCTCAGGACCTTTGGAAGAGCAGCCAGTGCTCTTAATCTTGGAACCATCTCTCCAGCCCAAACCTTTTCTTCTTTCACAAAAATGTCTATAAACCATGCTATAAGTCCATATTTAAGATGTCAATCATTTGTTTAAATGGAGGTTCTCTAACTCTACTAAGGTCTGAGCAATCAGGCAAGACAATGTGTCATTCCTAATCTTTTTTCTTTAAGATCACATAATTGAACCAGTGATAAACAGACTCCTTCCTGCTGATTCATCTGCAGCCGTGGAGAAGAAAACACTTTGGTAGGAGCCCTGCAGGGAACTTACTGGCTTCATCTCATAGCAGAGAGCCTGGAATCAGCACTTGGAATGTAACTGTCCCAGTGGGTCAGGTGACGTCTGAGGACCCACTCCTTCCCCTTCAGCAAGTTCACAACCTCCTTCCCACAAGCCCTCCCTGCCCTAAGGGAAGAACTCCAGAGAATGACTTTAGGATCCGAGGGAGAAGAATGAGTAGATAGATATGCAAAGCATGTCCCTTCCTTGTTTACAAATAAATTCATGGCGCTTTTTTTTTTTTTTTTAACATTCAAGGTAATAGGAGGGCATATACGTACAGGCAGAAGCTGAAAACGGAGTTTATGGTTAATCAACCAAGGTGAGAATACTTCCATAACAGGGTAACATTAATAGCCCCATATTCCAGCTGGAGAAAGTGAGGTTTAGGAAGCTGCTTATTGCTGCAGTGGGAAACAAAGTTTCACTCTAGCGTGAACTAGTAGATGTGTGCAGGAAAGTTAGAAGACTGTAACTAGGGAGTGATGGTCCCCTATGGAAGGGTGACAAAATACAATAACACAACAGATTACTTCCCACAAGCTACATTTTCAGTATCTTAAATGTCTTGTCAATAAGACATATGAAAAGGACAACAGACACAATCCTGTAACAAGACAGCATCTTTCCAATAGCTGTGAACGCCACATTTGCTCACCAACTTCTGGTGCCACAGGTCAGATGACCACAATGTAGAATATTTCTGACAGTGGGATAAGTGGCTCTTATTAACCAGAACATCATAAACTATCCCAGCCAAAGAGTACACCCGGTTACCCTAAGGGTGGGGAAGGAGGACTGAAGGGAAGGAATGTCTGTGTTCCTCATGTCAAACGCTGGCCATACAAAACAGAAGGGAGTGATTTTTTTTTCTCCTTACACCATGCCTCGGCACCCACATAAGAAATGATAATCACCCTCAACCAAAGGAGTGACCAGTCAGGCCTCATCTCCAGAGTCAGCTCCAGGAAACAACTCGAAATACTGCTCCCCTCCCACGGACAGCACTACTCCTAGGCCTTGAGGCTCCCTACAGCTTTCTCAACCATGTCCACTTGAAAAACCATCTGGACATCTGGGGTGTCTTACCCGGCTGTTTATGGAGGAATTACTCACCCACCGATTCCAACGACAAATGTTTTCATAATTGGCTTTGGAAATCACGTTCTCCTAATGTTTCCTATAATATAGAGAAATGAAATAAAAATCAGTGTCCTTTAGCTGTCTGGAGTTAGTCCTGAAAAGAAGTAACAGCTGAGAGTGGGTCAACATCCTCATCCCCACGTTACCCACACTTGCTGCCGCCAATAGCTGGCGTTTTCTTATGGTATGTCATGTCTGTGTGCCCCATTTCCCTGGGTCACGTTGTGATAGCTAATTACTGGCTGTCAACCTGACTTAGGTCTAGAATGAACTAAAACCCAAGCAGCTGGTACACCTGTGAGGGATTTTTTTTTTCTTTTCTTAAATCATTTGAAGTGTGAAGATCCATTTTAATCCGGCTCTTTTTTTTTTTTTTTAAGATTTATTTATTTATTTATTTAACGTATGTGAGTGCTCTATCTACATGTACACCTGCATGCCAGAAGACAGTATATCAGATTCCAGTATAGATGGTTGTGAGACATCGTGTGGTTACTGGGAATTGAACTCAGGACCTTTGGAAGAACAGATAATGCTCTTAACTAACAAGCCATCTCTCCAGCCCTAATCCAGAGCTTTTGAGGTGGGGAGATTCAACTTTTATCTGGGCCATATCTTCTTCGGGCAACCTATATAAAGGACATGGAAAAAGGACGCTTGCTCTCACTCTTGCCCTCACTCTCAAGCCCTTTCCTTCACTGGCATGAGAGCCTACTTCTTTGGGATTATGGCATATACTGAAGACGAGCTGAGACATCCAGCCTCGTGGGCTGAGCAACTACTTGATTCTTGGACTTTCACTGCCAGACACTGTTGGACTAGCTGTAACATATCCTGGAAGCCATTCTAATAAACCCTGTTGTGGAAAATAAATGATATTGGGCTAATAATGTTTATTGTTTGTCCTATAATTATTACGGTGATAATATCTAGTCTGCTATTATAATCAAAAAAGATACAGACACCTGTTGTATTTTAGAATAAGCCCAACCTGGGGCCGGGCAGATATTAACCCCCTAAAGCACCTTTCAATATCTCCCAGCCTCCACCCCATGCCATCTGCTTTAATCATTTCTATTTGGGCTATTTCCCATCCATAATCCCAAAATATTTGCTTATGTTGTTTAGCTGGGCCACTTCTTTCCATGCGGAACTTTAGACCTTCTCCTGGCCTCCTATCCCATGGAGATCCTGCTCCTTTTCCTGTACTGTCTCCTTCCCAAGATCCTCTCCTTTCCCCAAAGCCCGAGAACCTTAGCCACACCTACCCCATTTGCCCTGCCCAGGTGTGTTGGCTTTTTACTGGTCAACCAGGCATAGGTTTTTAAAAATTTTTTACTTTATTTTTAATTTTTATTTATTTACTTTTTTGAGACAGGGTTTCTCTGTGTAACAGAGCACTGGCTGTCCTGAACTCACCAAGCTGGCCTCGAACTCAGAGCGATCTGTCTCTGCCTCCCAGAGGGCTGGGATTACAACCATGCACCACCGTGCCCAGCTCGGGAATAAATTTTTAGGCAAGGTTACAAACATCATTTTGGACTATATGAGTGCCTGCTGGTAAAAGACAGCAAGTGGATACTGAGGCGCAAATTAATTAACAACCAAATGCAAAGCACCAGACCACGTTGCTACAAATTTCCTGTGTGTTCTGTTCCTCTAAGATACCCCTCTATATACCCTCCCTACTTTCCTAGTGAAAGGCATCGCTGCCAGTGGCAGAGGCACACAGAACTCAGTCTGTCTCTCGTTTTCTCCCTCTCTCTGAAAACCTTTCAGTGGTACCACATAAATTTTCAAGCTTTGCAGAAATGCAAACTGGCCCAGACTGGAATGACAGATGCATTTCTAGAAAAGCCAGAACGGAAACCAGATCAATCAGTGAACGTCTTTCTGCCAACATGAGCGGTTACGATCACTTTATTACTAAGAGCACGGAAAGTATGTTTCTTGCATATGTGCTGGGTTGTCAGGCTCTGGTGGATAACCCTCGTCATTCTTATTGATGTAGTATTGAACGGCTGTGTACAGTTAACGGAAAATACCAGTTCCCTTCCTACCGAACATATCAGGGCACACATCAGGACGTCAGGACACTGCCTCAATTACATAGAATGTAAATAATGGCGTGGTCCTGGCACTGGAAAGACTTGAGGGGGTTACCTGTGTGGAACTCCAGCAATTCAGAGATGAGCAATGAGGCGGAAGAACCCAATTCTAAAATCCCCTAGGTGGGAGGGGTGGAAACGCCCACAGCCAAGTACAAGGTAATGCAAGGTTGTGTTTTTTTCTCTCCAATCAAGACAGCAGCCGCCGGCACCGCCCCCTCTTCCCAGCCTGCTGACCTGAGTTCCATCAGCAGACCTCACGTAAAAGGAGAGTAGCAACCTTTTTGGAGTTGTCCCTCTAACCTCTGCACATGTGCAGAGCATTCATGCGTCCACATATACACTAAATTAAGTAAGTGAAAAGCTTAAAACCCAGGCACCCCAGGTCTGCTTTAGTTAGCCACCCGGGGCTATCCAAAGCAATGTTTGGGTGAATTTTGGACTTGTCTCACCAGCAGTGAAAAGGTGATAACATGGGGGCGGTGTGGAAAACCGGGCTATGCAGAAACAAGGCGGGGGCTGGGCTGAGCATCCCGTGGAACAGTGACTAGCCTACCAATCCCTGAAGCTGTGCAGTTCAAAAACTGTGTTGGAAACACACGGCAATTCATTCCAGGTTCAGACACGGCACCATCTACTTCCATATCATTCTATTTCCTTCTCTGTTAGGGCCCCTTTACACATGGTCTAGAAAGCATATTTTGAGCAAATTGCAATCAAGAGTTGCCATGCTTCATAGATATGATGGAAGGTGTTTTGTTTGACTGTTGGTTTTTGAGGGCTTTCATGTGGCTCAGTTTGGCCTTAAAGTGGCTACGTAGTAGAGGAAGGACTACCTCATACTGAATGTCTTGCCTCTACAACTCAAGTGGTGGGATTACGGGTGTGTGTCTGTACACAGGGCCTGGCAGCAGAGTATATTATGAAGCACATACAACTTGGAGCAAAGGTAAACTGTAAATCTTATGATGCCTCTGGAGAAACAACCCTTTGAGAGTGAGGAAGTCAGGGTGTTCTATCACCTTGAATCTCCTGTATTACTTATGCAGTTTCTTTTCCTAGGCAGCAGGGACCATTTTTTGCACAGGGAGTGGGGCGAAAAGGCTGAGACAGAAGCAAACCTTAAATGAGTCATTTATATGTTTTCAAATTTACTATTATGTTGAGACAGACTCTCACTATGTAGGTTGGTTAGGACCTTGCTGTACAGCCAAAGGTGCTTCTGCGGCAAGGCTACCTTCCGCTAAGCACTGGGATCATAGACTTGTATCACTTAGGATTGGCTCATTTGCAGAGTTTTTATTTTTTATTTTTTTAATACTTCTGATTTACTCTCAGTGCAATGTTGACTTGTCTTCAAAGTTGGCTTATGTTTATATTCGATCTACTCCACTCCTAAACATGGTTCACTTTGACTTCTAAAGTGCAGCATGATTCCCCGGCATGTGAAGATTCAGCAGGCTGGAAAGAGACTAACTACCACAAAATCTGAGAGGCGACAAGGGCACACACGTGCTCTTCACACGAGTTCAAGGCACATGTTTTCAGGATTTCCTTCTCTTGTGTTTCATCCAACAGTTATCTGGATACTTTCTAATTTAAACTTTGATCTTGTTGGGTAAACAGAAAACTCCCACAGCTAGAGTTCCTGGTAGGCAAGGCTTGAGGGCACAGCCACCACAAAGTTCCTGGTAACCTATGCCTCTTGAAGTTTCACTCACTTTTTTTTTTTTTTTCAAACTAACCTTCAATAGACACTTTGACCTTCATTCATCTTATTGAGGTTCTTTTTAAAAATTGCTTTATTACTTTTGCATTTATTTTGTGTGCCTATGTGTGGACAGGTGCATGCCATTGCTCACCACAGTACATCTGTAGAGGTCATAGGTCTACTTGTGGGGAGTTAGTTCTTGTCCCATTATGTGGGTGCTACAGATTGAACTCTAGTCATCAGATTTGAACCATCTTATTGACCCTGTAGTTTCTTACATAATCAGAATTTTCACTCTTTAAAAATAATTTTCTTTCCCCCAATATAAATTAGGCATGTAATAATGATGTTGTGAATTTATCTATGTGAGAATACAATCTCTCATGAGATGAGCTATTAGGTTAGGGTTGGGAAACTTTTGTAAAGTTTCCAAACAGTACATAGTTTTAGCCTCGTGGCCAAGTATTCGACTCTAAAGTTCTAATGTGCAAACGAGCATGGACAATTTTACCGACACAGAAATCTAAGTTTCTCCTAATTTTGGTGTGTCACATACCACAATATACTATGCTTTTGCCTTAGCTATTAAAAACGCCAAAAGCATTCTTAGAAGGCCAGGCAGTAAGTGGATTGGAGTTTGCTAACTGGATGCTGCAGAAAGGAGAGTCCTGTCCCGGGGCGGATCAAGACCCGATTCTCCTACCAGCAAAGGTGAGGTCTCCCCAGGAGCGGTGACTAGCCGCATTTTAGGAGCTTGAGTCCCAGCGCGATTTCCCTAGACGCAATCAGGTTCCGGGTCCGGCGCAGGAGCCTCTGGAACGTCCCCAGGCCTTCGGCGAGTTTTCGCAGCGGGCAGTGAGTACTCACCGAAACAGGTTCGAAGGCTCCCCAGCAGGACCGCAACGCAGGCCGCACCGGAGTTTCAAGCCCAGAACCGCCCGCTGATCACCGGAGCAGTGCGGTTCTCCGCTCGGTTTCATAGTCCACACCTAGCAGGGCCCGGGGGCGTGGTCGCCGCCAGGCTCCTCCCCCAAGGCGGAGGGCGGGGCCCCGCGCTCCGGAGTGGGCTGGACCTCCGAGGCTCTCCGCAGCCAATCAGCGGCCGGCGAGGCGCGGCCACTTCCTGGTGGGAAGGCAGGGCTGTCTGCGGAGCTCGCTGGTCCGAGCGTCCCGCACCGGCAGCGCGCGGGTCCCGAACGTCCGCGGCCAGCGCAGTGTGGCGCCCGGTTCCCGTCTGCGTGTGGGGCTCCCGCGGCCGAGCCTGGCCGCTCCGCGTAGCGCCATGTCCAAGCCTCCTCCCAAACCGGTCAAACCAGGTAAGAACTCGGCGCGCCGAGCGCGCGGGGGTCCGGGCTGCGGGTCCCGGCGCAGGACTTCCCGGGAGCGCCCGCGGGTTCTCCCCGCACTGCTGTCCCGGGCGTCCGAGCGATGTGGTGGCAGCACCTAGGTCGCGGCCACTTCCTCCTAGTTCGGCGTGTCGCTGTCAAGTTGGAGTTCTTGACCGGCCGGCGAACGGGAAGTGCGCCGCGGCTGGGTGGGGTTTGCGCCGGACAGCTGCGGGGCCCCGGACCCGAGCGGGCCGGCCACTCCCGGGAGCTTTGGAAAGCTGCGCCCGCGTTGCCAGCGAGACAGTGTGGGCTGCGACCCTCTCGGCTCTCGGCCTTAGGCAGTGTCACTCTGTCCACGCGTCCTAGTGCTTTGCTTAGGGCGACTCCGGCGAACCTAGCTGGAGAGAGCGCGGAGTTCCTCCGAGCAGTTTTCCTGACCACTCTTCCTGGTTCGCTTTTTAAGCGTTGTTCTTAGAGTGTTTTCTGCGAGAGCATTTAAAAGAGACTGCTGTATTTCAGCTCAGCTAGGGAAACTCGGAAGCAGCTCTCGTTTGGATAGGTAATTAACAGGAATCATAGGAAATGGGAGATTAGTGACTGAGGAATTCCCAGCCCCTTCTCTTCTCCTACGTCTCTGATATTGCAAAGGCTGAAACGTGAGCCATTTACGGTAATCTTTATAGCAACCTTCGCTCCTTCAGTGATTTTTTTTTTCCCTTGAGTTTTTTTTTTTTTTCTTAAGTCAGTCACTCCAACTTTAATTATTACCTACTTTTATTCTTTTGAGGCAGTATCAAGCCCCTGAACTAAAAAATAATGCGCACGCATTTGTGAGATAGGCATCTTTCTGACGATTTAAATTTTGCAGTGCCTAGTGTGAAGGAAGTGGCTTAGGCTGGCTTTGGCCTGAGCAGAGTCTGGGCGGTGCTGGTTGAGGCTGCCGTCCATGTGAAATCGGAGAAGTTTGCAATTTGCAATTTAGATGCGGATGTGTGAGGTGGCAGTTTTGTAAACCCAGACGTGTAAGTCAGGACCTCAAGTGTCCAACGAGGCTGAGTTCTTTGATAGCCAAACGAAGCACTTGATTTTGAAGAATGTCCTGAAAACCAAGTCGTGAGGATTTTCGCCCCTCTGGACACATTAAAAGTGAAGTAGGAGTTGGATCTGTGAGTGCTGGCAGGGACCTGCCTGTGTGTACGTGGTTGCGAACTTGTTCACGCACCCGTGGGTGTGGTTTAGGACTCATCCTGTTGCTAAGAGGAGATTTGCTCTGGGAACTTTTTTTTTTTTTTTTTTGTCTACATTTCTGCCTTTTCTTCTCCAGCAAACCAGAAAGCACAAGGCTAAACATTTTTATTGTTTAGAGAAAACTCTGACCTCACCAGGATTTACAAGTGAGGCCCAAACATAAATCGAGTTGCCGTGAAAATCAGCTTGTTGACCTAGTAACTTACAATGAGAAGTGTTAGTGTCAGTAGGACTTAAAGCTGTGTGTTGGCTTTACTTGAAAACAGAAACCTTTATTGTCATAGCTGGCCCACACGTACGGGGTGCCCGGCACTGGTCTAGTCCCCAGGGCATGTTTGAATTCATCCATTTCTTGCTCTCAGGTCAGCACCTTTTTTTATTCCCATTGCCCTGGGGGGGATGGAGAGGGCGCAGAAGGGTTAACTCACCTCAGGCGTGGAGTGGGATGTATCTACCGTGGAGGAGTGGAGCTCAGGTAGTCAGACTCCAGGATTTGTGCTTTGCCTCTGTGTGAGGAACCCCGAATATTTTACAGCTGGATAGGAATCCAAAAGAACTAGGTTCTGGCCCTCAGCCAGACTGCTTTATGCCGAATACCCCTGGTTAGTGACAGCAGGTGAACTGTACTCTTCTTTCCTCATATTCTGGGCAACTTACAAGGTCTCCAAAGAAGCCTGTGTTCACATGAGGACGTATTTAAGTTTTAATTTCTCATTTATTGCTTTGTTTACACCCTCCCTCATCCCCCAAATATTTCTAAAAATTCAAATTAGAGAGCTGGGGGAGAGAGAGAGAAAAAAAGAGGCTTGGGTTGGAGAGGAAAGAATAATAAGCAGCGAAAAGAAAAGTAAGGGATATGTGTTTTAAGCTCCTGTAAAGTCACCGAACAGGGGCCATCACGTGACTGTCAGCTTTATGCTGACAGATGAGATACCAATGGTGAGGTCCGGTAGAGCTCGTGGAAACTAACATGTGTCACTTATTCTGGGAAATAGTTACCTAAATGGCACCGAGATCTGAGACAAAACTTCCCCAGGTTCTCTTCCTGTGCTGTACAAAAATACCAGAGGAGTAAAACAACATGACTCCCAATTTAATGGGCAACACCTAAAAGACAGGAGCAGATGAGGGGACAGAGGGACAGAAGACTTAGTGTGAGAATCTAGAATTGTGTCTTATTTATTTATTTTCTTTCTGTTGCAATTTAAAAGATTAAGGATTTATTTTGGCTCATGGTTCAGGGGTATAGTATACCATGGCAGGAAAGTCCTGGAGGCAGGAGCTTGGGGAAGCTGGCTGCATTATATCTGCAGTAGAGAAGAGGCGGATGCTTGCTCCTACTCATATAACATCTTCCTGTTTATCCTGATGGAGTGCCCAAACCCAGGAAATGGTGCTGCCCTTCTTTTAGATGAGCCTTCACAACTCAGTTAACCTAATCAAGGTAATCCCAGCCAGGCATTCTTAAAGGCTCACCTAAGCTAGATAGTCCCCATGGTCAGTCTGGAAGTTTGTCTCCTGTGGGATTCCATAGCCTCTGCCAGTATAAACCATTATCAATAGCAAGGGACATCGAACAACAAAGTGGGTTAATTCATCTTTCAGGCCAAAACAGCCTGTACCCAGCAAAGGACCATTCACGGGAGGAGGCTGCCCAGGCAAGTTCTGGTGAGATCCAGCGAGGAGAGAGTTCAGCCACTTTCTTTTAGGGAGGGGGCATTACAGAGTTTGCCCTGTAGACATTTCTTTTTTCATTTCTGTTTTCTTTCTCTCTTTGCTTTTTGAGGCAGGGTTTCACTGTGTGGCTACACACTGTGTAGACCAAGCTTGCCTGGAACACCCTGAGCTCTGTCTGACCCTGCCTCCTGGGTGCTGGGATTAAAGCCCTTTGCTGGGCTCCCTGGTCTTTTGTTTAGACAGTCCTTAATGTAGCTTGTATTTTAGACCTTGCACTGGGCCCTAGGGTCAGGGGGTTGGGGGTTCTTAGGAACTATAAGATAAGGTTTCATCCTTATTTGTTGGGTCCCAACTTAGTTTATATATCTACAATTAGATGATTGAGTATACTGTTTAATCTTGTAATTAAAAAAAAAAGTATGTATAGTGGTACATGCCTGCAAACGTAGCACTCAAGAAGCTAAAGTAAGAGGAGCCTAGTTCTGCAGCACCTACCTCAAAAAAAACAAAACATAATGAAATATATTTTCTATTCTAGAATATTTGACAAATGCAGATAAGCAATAAATAAATATATTAAAATTTAAAAACTGTTTTTACCACCTAGAGATAATCAGTGTTTATTTCTCAGGTTTTATTTATTTTTTTCTGAAAATCAGTTTTTAATACAAAAATAAAATAGAAGCAATTAACTTCATGAATGTTCTGCAAGTGTCAGATCGAGGTATGCTGTGGACTGGTTAATATTTCCTCTCTATATTGCCTGTATTGTGCTTGAAACATCATTTCAATCACAATTTGTGCCTTGTGTGGCATTTTATCTTTTATGGGATCACCTTTGGCTCGTGAAAACTGGTTTGTGGTTGAAACTTGTGCCTACTTGTCAGATATAGCACTGTGTGGCTCAGTCTTCAGAACATTGTCCATCCTGCCCTTCATATCCCCACAGGCTCTCAGTTTGTGTAGAGAGCATTTCCGTAGTTTTCAGCCACCCTCAGGAGCCTTACACTGAAGGAGGGTGGTTTACATGGCTTGTCAGTGTATAGGACAGAGCTTTGTTCTCACAAACACAATTTGAGAAATTTGATGGGCCATGGGATAATAAATGCACTGAATGCCACGTGAACCTTGAGACCATCTCCTTTGAACAGATTTGGTGACAGTCTACTGTAGTTGGAAACCTGATGTCTGACCTTGGCCTTCTCCTTCAAATGGGTTATTGATTTTGGTAGTGAGAGGAAAACAACATAAATATTTCATGTGTCTTGTGAAAATAAGTCTGTGGAACTTAGGAGAAACTAGCCAGTGTTCTGGGTTCTTTTGTTATGCACAGTAAAAACATAGAAAGCATTGCATGCATGCTCTTTCAGTAAAACTTGAGAGGAGGAGAGTCTCCGTGTAAAATGGCCTCAACTAGTGTGTAATCCATCCCTGCATAAATAATGAATCAATGCTGAGAGTGATTGCTTGGCTTTCAGAGGTACACAGGGACTGTTTTCTCTTATAAGTGTGATGTGTTTATACCCAGTGGCCGAGTAAAGTCCGAGGGAAGCATTTTGAAAACTCCCTGGATGATGATGATGGTAATGGGAAAAATGAACATTTAGTTGGTTCCACATGTCATGCCTGGTAGCAAGCACTCTGTGCCCTCTCTCTCCTGTTTTTTACTTCCCTGTAAAGTAGGTCTCTGTATCCTTGTTTTACACAGGATAAGTAAGCTACATGATGCCTCAAAGCTACTTGTGAATGGTGTAGCTTGGAAATAGAGCTTAGGCTTTAACTTGGACACGTGCCTTTAGTGTGTGTGTGTGTGTGTGTGTGTGCGCGCGCACTTGAGGTCAGAGGGCACTTGCTGAAGTGTGTTCTCTCTCTCCTACCATGTGGATCTCAGGAATCATACTCAGCTTATTAAGTTTGGCTGCAGGTACCTCAACGCACTGAGCCATCTTCCTGGGCCAAATGCGAGGTATTTGGAGAAGTACCAAGAGATCCTGGGGTTCTTTTAAACTTCTGCATGATATTTGCAAACGAATGCACATTTAGATTGTCTCCAGTCTTTGGTT